ATAAGTTCAAGACATACAGTTAGCAACACCTGTTACAGTAGATGGTACAGGACAAAGGCAGGCCATCCTGTACTATCACCATATCACTATTTGGCCTGCTTGCATCACAATTTCAAGATAACAGCATCTGCTGGTGAGTACAGTATAGTGTATACAATATTATAGTTTGCTTATTTACAATATACTGGTTATGCACAGTAATGTTTTCAGTAATAAATACACCTCTGTAGATGTCCGATTGCAGTTAAGCTTTCATAGCAATGGTGCTCCGTGCCATATGTGTAGCTTAGACACAGAAACATTCAGCAATGCCCAGAAAAGTTCTGTAGATGTGCTATATTTTTGGGGGGAATAAGAGAATTATTCTCAATACTCGGAAAACTTTGAAACCCGGAAACGTTCTTCACCACCTGTTCTGGCAAACAGGGATATTACTTTTCTTATCATTTACACTACCATTGGGAAAAAATATGGTAAGACCAAGATAAGCAGTGTTTTATCTGCAGCAATAAGAAAAAAATACTGGGAAACTCAGCCTAAAGGTAAGATTAAAATCCTTGGGTAAAATATAGAATGGGGTCAACAATACCTGTCTTTCTATTTTCTGACTCCCAGGATGGTTGATTACTTAAAGTCATTTTAAACCCTTCAGCTATTTTTTCTTAATTTCCTATAAAAATTCATGAAGGGGTTAACTACAGTCACTAAATCAGAATATGTATTCCATTCTTTATTTAAGTCACATATCTCATATTCTAAAAAAAGGAAGGAGTTTCTGCCTATTGAAATTCTTACTTGTTTGCAAAGTCAGCTTGAAGTAATCCACTTGCATCTTCTATTAGGCCATTGGTGTTAATGTGAATCTTTGGTAAGTGGTTAGAGGAGGATTCCCAGGCTGGTAAGTCTTGATAGCAGATGTACTGTCGGGTGAAGGTCACATTTCCAGTTGCCTCTGGAATGTTCATAAAAATGTAATTTGGGATGAAATTTAATATATATTTTTTTAAATTATGGTATAAATACAGTATACAGGACGAAACAAATCTTAGGAGTAGAATATTTTGCCACATATTAGGGAAGTATTTCAAGCTCACTTAAACCCAAACTGGGATTACAGTGATGATTTTATGCACAAAGTGACTCAACATACACGGAGGTCTTACATTATCAGAATTTAGGCCAAGGCCAGATGTGGTATTTACTGACGACTTACCGGACTTCCCACAATCAATAAGCAGTAATGTCCGAAAGACTGTGCATAGCATAGGTAATTTTCGTAGCAGTTCACTTTTGACACAAATTGGCACTAGTTTGAGCAGGCAGTGTCAAAGTATAGGGTATCAATAGGTTACAACCAAATACATAGTTTTGCCTGTATTATGAAAACATCGAACTGATGGTTAATGAAATTGAAGATAGTGTACCCCTATATCACGTCACCCCCTCACACACCAGCCTCCACCAATGCCTGGTCTTTTTCTCCCCCTAACTCATGAGCACATTGGAATCATGCTTCAATGCTCCCTGGGTTCACACATCATGGAGAGAGAAGATTGACAATGCTAACTGTACACACACAAATTTCCAGTTCCATTATGTTTCACTCAGTACAAAAATTTCCCTCCTTCCCAAACATTGACATCCCTCCCCTGCCTCCCCAAATATCCCTATGAAAAATCTTTACCAAATGTTAATTTTCTAATAAATTTCTTCTCGTGTTTCTATTAAAAAAATCCTAAATCACGAAGTCTATCCTTCACTATGATGTTATAGTATCATTTCTGTTCTCACTTTACATATTATGTACACCGGTAAAAATAATAACGTCAGTCCACCAACCTTTTCTTGTCACTCGTCGGAAATAATTAAGTAAACACTTCATCTTCTCCAATGCTCGCTTCTCTTTATGGAAGAATAATCTGCAAATTGGAAAATGCATTAGTTTCCACTTAATCAACTTCAGCTAAGAGAGACTGTGCTGGGATGGGTTAGACTAGACTGTGCTTAGATTTCAAAAGTTAAATTGGTTTAGTTCACATTGGGTTGGGTTCACTGCATTTGCTTAGAGAGTTAGGAAAAAAACAAAAACAGTAGTACAGGTATAGCAATGTATAGTTTTGGAATTTGACTGAGAGGTGGAATTATTAAGGAAAAACTATGGCTTGAACCAAAAATTCTGTTTAAAAGTAAGGTTTCCTAACATGCTCTAAATCTTTGTTCCTTCAGAAACTCAAAACTGAGATTTCTTCCAATTAAAACAGAACTTTGTCTCAAACCTTCTCAAGGGAAAGAATTAAAAGTTTTCCTGGACACATATATTTGTGATCATAAGTAGTCAGTACACTGGTAATTATGGTGTGTAGTGGATGTGAGTACAGTGAAACCTGCTTGTATATACAGCACAGTATTACCTCTCTATATGGTATATTATGCAAATAATAAACAGATCAGAGTTATTCATATGCTTGTTTCAGACCAGCCGTTGGAACCAAGAACAAGTAAGGCTGAACAAAACAGCTACTGTATCTCGACCACTTAGTCAAGCCGTCAGTCAGCCAAGCTGGAGAGGTATTAATATAGCTGGCTGATCCAAGGTAATAACTGCATTCATGATTTTCGAAGTCCTTATCTCTACTTACAGGATATTAAATAAAATTTTGCACAATTTTGTTATTACTCACCTGTTAAAATTAATGTCAGGATAATTTGCATATTCAGTCTCACTTCCCTTTGCATTTCTTCGTGGGAATGTACAGAAGAAGGCATTTGCTAGAAGAGATGCAATCTGAAATAATACAGTGACAAGATGCATATAAAGAAATTCCTAATTATGAAGGAATAAAATGATACTTCCCTTCCACAACAAGACTGATCACCAGTACCCAGGAAACTGAAAAATCCTCAAAACTATCCCAAGAGTCCTGGACTTAAGGGTCTATACTTGTACAGTGACCCCTCGTTTGACGAACACCTCGGTTAACGTAATTTCGATTAACGAACTGCCTTCCATAAGGATCTTCAATTCGGTTAACGAAAAAAAATTCGGTTAACGAAGTTCTTATGAACCGACCTCAACTTGTTTTCGCTTGCACTGACCGGGCAACCAGCTTTAGTATCAGTCCGCCAATACATTAATCGGTTCTAGGGCTTAAATTCCTTACTATTTTAGTAAATATCAAGAAGTTTATACTATTCAATAATTTTAAAAGTTTAATATTAAATTTTTTTGTCATTTTAACAATTATTGAACATAATTGAAGGTAAAGTGACTAGTTTAATGCGCGGCATCCAGCCTCTTAACACAGCAAACAGGAGTTAGTCTCTCTCTGTTTTCACTGGAGGTAACATCTTGCTTGAGACTCTCTTCAACTAAACGCTTTTTTTGTGTGTTTCCAAGCAAATTATTGGTCATTTTGAAATATATTTTACATACTGTATTGACAATATATAATGCAGTGCAGTGTTGATTTAAAGAAAATAATCTTGAATTACACCAGAGAGCTAAAATTTTATGGGTGAAATGGCACCATGGGGTGACTTCTCTTCCACCCCAATGCCTTCTCTTCTTCCTTCTCCTCCACCCCCATTCTAAATCCCATCATCATCATCATCATCCAGGAGCCTTCTACATACGCACCTCAAAGTAAGTGAACTTTTCTACCATTTTTGTTGAATTTAGGAAATTTTCGGTGAGCTGGAACCAATTACCCAAAAACCCATTGAAACAATGGTTTCGGTTAACGAACTTTTCGGTTAACGAACGACCTTTGGAACGGATTGAGTTCGTTAAGGAGGGGTCACTGTATTATTAATATTACCCGGTATTACAATATAAATATTATTTTAACTATCATTATTATTATATTATTATTATTGAAGTACTATTATTATTACCCATTTGTGGTACCGAAATATATTTGAGGAGGACTATTCAATATTTAGTGTAAATGATATAAATGAGCTAGACATAAACGAGTTTCTCCTGTTTCTTGGTTTGCCTTGAAAAAAGTGGGAACCCCTTTTTGGTAACAACTCAGCTTGTGATTTATGGAAATACTGGAACAAACTTAAGACATTTATAAGAGCAATTGCAAGATTAGTTTGAAATATGATTGGTCACGTATAGTATTCCAAAATGTTCTTAATATACTAAAACACTGAATTCCTTTTGAGTGGAACAAGAAAACAGGGAGAAATATTAAGACAAAAAAAAAAAAAGACATGCACAACACACCTGCATCTGTGAGAGCGTGATGGAGTGTGCGGCTCGACTAACAAGGAGTGGTGGGGGCTGCGTAACAAGCTTGGGTAAATTCAGAGCTAGACGTATCATTGCTGGTAAGGTGTTACTGAAGAAATAATCACGTTCCTCTTCTTCAAACTCCTTTAAAAAAATATATATAAAATTTTAATTCTTTAGAATGGTCCATGTCTACATACACAAACACATATATACAATACAAATAAAAGAAATAAGTGTCCTAAGGGCACACACATAAAGGGAAAATAATTTTTTTTTCACACGAGTAAAAATGCCCACCGTCCACAAATGTTATTCGCGGATTTGGCTATTCTCAGACATTTTGAGAACCTAACCCCCCCGCGAATTTTAAGGGCATGCTGTACTGAGGAAGCATTGCTGTCACAATGTTATTACCGTACCTCAAACACCTATGGTCTTTAACCCCTCCACAATGAGGATGCCACTTTCAATTTTTATTTGCCTAATGCCAACACATAAAAACAGAGAAACTGAGAAACATAACCCTCTCTATGAGTGAACAGAATGACAAACTCATAAAACGTGCAAAAGCAAAATTTTCTTTCTCTATGGCATGAGTTACAGGCAGTAATCTATTCACTTAAATAATTAATAATATGATTGTCTACCAAGAACAATAAGAAAGTATTAAAGTATGAAATAAAAGGGTTACACAACCATGTGGTATTTTTGGTCTCTTAAGGCTTCTAAGTCACACTTAGGATAGAATAAGTTCAAC